TAGGCTAGATTGATCCAATTCCAGCAATCATTCTTCATATGTTTTAGCCTCATGTCCCCAATCATCTCTGTGTGTGAGAGAGAGAGAGAGAGAGAGGGAGGGAGAGGGAGGGAGAGGGAGAGATGACAGAGATGATAGAGATGGAGAAGGTGATGGAGATGGAGATGGAGATAAGGATAAGGAGAGAGACAGAGACAGAGAGTCCTCAACTTGCAATCACAATTGGGTCCAAAATTTCTGTTGCTAAGTGCAGCGATTGTTAAATGAGCCATGCCTGCTTTTACAATGTTTGTTGCCAATGTCATTAAGTGAAGTTGTTAAGTGAATCATGCGGCCGTTAAGCAAAGCCAACTTCCCTCATTGACTTTGCTTGTCAGAAGCTGTCTGGGAAGGCTGCAAATGGCAGATCCCATGGCCCTAGGATGCTGCCACCATTGTTAAATCCGCCCAAATTTTGATCACGTGACCATGGGAAATGCTGCAACGGTCATTAGTCACTTTTTCCAGTGCCTTTATAGCTTTGAATGGTCCCTAAGTGACTAGTTGCAAGTTGAGGATATAGATAAAATGTAAATTGGCTTCAATCTTTAGCATCACCTTTGCTGTCAAGGCTTCCTATGGGCCCCGTAGGCATTCGTAGAAAAAATAAAATTTGGTAGACACTGCAATCCAGTGCGTTGTTTAGAAATGTCCTCATTAGCCCAGGAAAAAAAAAAGCAGCTAAGCTTTTCCTATGCTGGGAAAAGCTTCTGTAAGGGCAAATCTCATCCCCTCCCCTCCTCAACAGGCCTCCTCTCCATGTAACCAGGACACCCTAGAGTGACTATTTTCTTTCCCCATTAAGCAAGGAGATATGAGTCAGGCTTAAATAAGGAAAATGCTTTTCTCTTTTTCTGTTAATAAAAGAAAGCACCCAAGGTATTTTCAGCACTGCACCCGGTAGTCAATTTTCAAAGGCTCCGGCCATCTGAGGCAAGTTACAAGATTACAGCCCCCTAGGTACAAAGGAAATGCCTGTTTGAGACAGCATTTACTTTATTAAGAAAATAGACAGAGTGCTGAACAGAGAAACACAGATGATGAAACAAGGGTTGGGTTTGAAAAGCAAGGGTAAACAAAGAACAATAGGTAAAAAGCCTCGTCCAAAAAATGAGACGGAGCATTATGGAAAAATAATTGAGAAAGGAACCAGGCAAGGAGAGGGGAAAAGGAGGAAGAGAGGAAGAGGGGGACAGGGGGAGAGAGGAAGAGAAGGAGGAAGGGAAAGAGAGAGAAAGAGAGAGAAAAAGAGAGGGAGGGAGGGAAGGAATGGAAAGAAAGAAAGAAAGAAAGAAAGAAAGAAAGAAAGAAAGAAAGAA